TTCTCTCGACGGGAAAATTAATTGCGGAAAATAAAAAGCATAGATTTCGGTGATAAGAGAATTGAAAAAGAGAAATAAATGAAATTTCCCAGCATTTTCACAAGTGCCATCCAAGTTACTCGCGTCTTGCCGATTCTCCACCCATCGGAATGGCCGAAGAGGGGTGAAGAAGATGAAATCCGTCGGAAGAAAGGAATTGTTGTGATTTGACCCTTCACGCTACTGCGGAATGCTTTGAGTGAAAGGCTTGCAAGAGTGGCAAAAAAATTGTGTCAATTTCCGAAAGGGACAATAGTTTTACAACGCACACTTCCCAGAAGGATTCCCAAGAATTTTGAATAATATCTAGATCAGAAAAAGTGTTCGGCGCATTGTTGCCTTTATTGGGCCAATTTGTTGAGGAAATAAGCAAAAAAATATAGCAAACACTTTAGTCACATTATACAAAAATGTCCCAGGAAAGTGAAAGCGATTTCTTGGAGTTGTTTTTAAAATTCATTCCCACATTCACTCAACCCCCAAAAAACCCCGCCAGAGAGTCAATGAATGTGTAAATTATGCTAATCACAAACACTTGCTTCCCGCTGGAAGTTCATTTTACACCAAGCACACAATCTATGCAAACGAAATCAACACACGAGGAGATAAATGAATATCTGAGGCACGATACTTACATTTTCCAGGCGTGAAAAATGAATAATTTATCTCTCCCACTTGCGCGACTTGCATGTTAATGCTAATTATCACTTTGTCATTTTTCACAGACACGTGGATGGGATTTCACTGGGAAATTCACACGAGAAAAGCGCTACATTACTCAATAATCACATCTTCGCCGGGGAGAGGCGAACTTGGGATGGGAAAAGTGGAAAAGAGTGGGTTAATTGGGAGAAGTTGGTGAAATTTTCATGAGTGTAAATTGATAAGTTGTGTGCGGTTGGAAAATGAGGTGGCTGGAATGAGTGATAAGTTTGTAAATAATTGACGCGATGGAACTTATCACTTAGCACTTGAATAATTGAGATTGTAAGTGAGCTCCTGAGGCACTGGCTTTTTCGCTATATGGAAAAACACTTCACTTTCTGGGCTTTTCTTGCGCCGCGACCTTCTTGGCCCCAAAATAAACACTCTCGGCGCGCTGTTCTGGCCACTGTCAACTGCGGATATTTCTGTGCGTGGTGGCCTTGGGGCAGTTTCTTGGCCCTCGCGACGCGGACGTGGAAAATGGCTGGGCCGCAGGACTGTCCATCGCGGGCGTCCGTGGGCAAAAAAAGATGCTATCAGAGCGAAGACTTGTGATAGAAAACTGTCCAAAATTTGTACCACTCGATCTCTCCACCACATAGAGCGTGCACATAAAATTTTATATGGCTCTTCGCTACATAAGCTTGTACAAACATGAAGGCAGAGTATAATCCCCATCGCGTCGCGCGCCCCTCGACGTCCCTCGCCCGGACTCGGTCTGTGTGAAAAAGACGCGCGCCAGATGGAATTGGAATGTGGCGTGCAAGACGTTGCTCTCTCCCGGAGAGGACTCGCAGGGCCATAGGCGTTGCCAGCCACCAAATCATGTGGCAGAAGCCCTCCTTTGGGTCTCTCGCGCTGTCTCTCTTGGTTTTCCACCACCGACTTCCCCATGGCTTTCCTCGCCATGAGTAACAAGTGAGAAAGACAGCTCTGGCGTGGACCTGTATGGGTGTCTTTTTGCTGTTTTGCCACTGTAACCTTTGACATGCGTTCTCTCCACATTTTCGGGTGCCCCACTGTCTCAATTTACGCCCCAACCCCTCCCACGGCATTCTCCCGCTGGAAACACCACCTCTTGGTCCCCATAATTTTCAGTTGAGATTTTCCGCACAGCCCAAGGAAGCGAGTTACAAAACCTCACAGCGTCATTTCTGCCAAATCACTCATAACCGCGCCACAAAACAGCCCACGGCGATATGCTAAAATCCTCCCAAAAGCAAGAGAAAATAGGATTTCCAAGGATGACAGATCCATCACAGTCGAAAATCGCGGGCACACTAACAACGTCACATTAAGTGAAAATATATAAAATATTTTCCCTACACGGAACCATTTGAAATTTCTTACCGATGTTGTTATTGGAACACAAACCATCAAAGTGAAAATGAGATGGTATCGCGATAGCGCCATCGTGAGTGAAGGGGACAGAGAGAATCCCATAAACATAAAAACTGCAACCGGCTGCTATGCTACGAGAAAATATCATCCGACAATCCTCCATCATCCATCCACAGAGCATGAGCATCGTCTCTTCGGAGATTTCCTCCTTTTTCGGGGTTGCTTTTCCCCAGCATTTTCCCACGACATTCCTCGGGCGTGTTGAGGAGATTTTTCATGTTTCACCCATCACCCCTCATTTGTATTCGAGGCGGCGTTATTTTCCTTCTCGTCCACAGAGAGATTTCACCGCGGAGATAAAGTGGAATTTCTCGGAAAAATACGCCTAGAAGTCTCTCAAAATGCTCAAAACTTCAAACATCTCATCTCTAGAGTCTCAAAATGAGAGATTATCAACTCTTCTCTCTGTCTGAAATCTGTGTATTTGGGAAAAGAAAATGTTTTGGCGTTTGAGCTGATTAAAATAGACAGAGATTGTTGAGAGAGACTTAATTTGGTGGGGCATAAATAATATGAATTTCCTGCAATTTTCATATAAACACGCTCACACTTGAGCCTCTTTCTCAAAGTGATAATATATTCTTCTCATTGAGATTCTAGAAATCCCCCGACTTATTTATTAAGCCAAGAAGTGCTATACATAATTCAGCAAAAGAAACGAAAAGGGTGTGACTGCTTCAGACCAGAGAAATGAAATTTACGCCCAGTTGATTGAAAAGAATAAATTCGGACAGACAAAATTCTTTATCACACTGCGAATATACCAAAAAATTAAACCACACAAGATTTTACGATTCAAATTACCTATTTTGCTTGAAAAGTTGTTGACCAACCTGTTCAGCTGTTCAGACACACGCAAAGCTTGAGATACATTTCAATTTATTTTATCAATTAGAGCAGTAAAGGCAACTGAAGCAATTTATCTACAACTGTCTTCAATGTGTGCTGAAAATCCCCAATTATAGACTTGTTTCGGCGAATTAAAGACATTTTTTTCCTTAATATTTCAACCCTCAAAGCTCTCAGCATTCAAAATGTGCGATGAAGAGGCAAAGAGTGTAATGGAAATCTTGTCGAGGCGTTGATTTCCCAGCGAGAGGAGGTAATTCAGTGTTTGATCAGGCTTTGAATGTCTGCATTAGTAGCGATCGGAATCGAGTTCCACCCCCGGGGAGTGAAGGAGGGCCACCCATTCGGCGGGTTAAGTGAAGCAAACATTACCCGCATACAGGATTAAATCACACATTACGCCTCGAGGACTCTGTGATATTCATATGGATGTTTACTCAGCGTGTTATGTATTTCCATGGAGAACACACCCTCTCATCACCAACTTTCCATCATCCTCTTGGCATGGAAATGAGGCAAAAACATCTCATCTCTATGCTGTATATGCAAAATGGGATTTCAGGGCGGAATGGGGGTGAATCCAAGAGGGATGCTCCCATATATAGTATTTGAGTGAGCATTTTCGCAAAATAGAGCTTCGAAGTCACTCACTTCTGACACGATAATGGTGTTTTCTGCTCTCTTGCCTTCTGCTGGGGCTCACGAACCCCTACTGTACACAAAGGAGGGGTGCCTCTGAGGGAGAAAAAGGGAGAAATCCTTTTTTCCTTCTGCCAGCACACCCCGAAGCCCATAGAGATGGGTGGAAAAAAAATCTGAGGGGTAGGCAAAGTGTCAATAATCTCATAAACAAATCCCCCCACAAGGGTTGAAATTGTTCCATGCCATTGAAGCCCATTTAACGCGGAAAAAAGCCCCACCAGAAAGAGGGAGGGCATATAGCTCAGATACAGTCGAATCCCCTTGGCCATCTTCCATTCCACATTTTATGTTGCGTTTTCCAATGTTCATCCACCAACTGCAATAACTTCCACTTCCTTCATCCACCATCGCCCTTTTTCCACCCTCGCTCTCTCCTCTCATCATCTCCCTCATCGCACGTCTCGCTCGCGCATGCCGCCTCTCTCGCTCCCTCATCTTCGCCCCATCAATTAAGACTTAATTAAATTGTGCTCACATTCGTGCGACGCAGAGACCCAGAGAGTGGCTGGCCGGCAAAAACTACAAGCCAAAGGCATTAATTTAAATTGAAATATCACACGAATGAATATCTGCAACATTGTATTAAGCAGACCCGATGTTTTCATTCCCTCATGCATTGGCCTTTATCGACCATGTGTGATCTCATGAACTCCAATCATCGTCCAACCTGTGTCATTGAAATTTTATTTATTGCATCCCATTCGCCCTCCCCCTTCGCGGGGCATCCCACAGTGCTGAGCCACGGAACGAATTGCAAATTGAAATTCATAATCACCACAAGTCACTCAAATATGCAAATTGTATGCTCGGCCAGAGAGCTGACTCGATGAAGATGGAGGCTAAAGAGCTGCCGCTGGATTTCCGATAGAGTCAATATTTGTGAGAATTTATGCGAGAGATTAGGTAGCCAATGGACATTTAGATGTTTTAATTAAAAATCTTTTATTCATTGTCTATTCCATCCTCATCGTCAACTTTTCCTCCACGGAGCTTTCAGCTTCGCATGCGCTGAATTTTTATTGCCTCACTCTCAAGTGGCCTCTCAATGGTCGCTCAGGTCTCGTCCAGAGATGGAGCCACTTGCCCAAGGATCTGTGAGCATCTCCATAAAGTAGCCGCAGAGGAAATCCAGACGCAAAGTCGTGCCAAAAATATCCTGGCAGTGTGAAACTCACCTGCAGAGCCGTCGCCCCTTGAAGCATATGCTGCATAGGACCTACAAATAAGTCAGCAGAGCAACCAGAGAGTACAATGATTTATTTATTGTTTCATTTTCTCTTTCTTTATCTGCTCATCCATTCTCATTCTCGATATAATAATATATCCATCATTGTCCAAATTGTGAATATAGTTTTTTTCTTTACCTAAAATCTTGTTTTTTTTTTGTTGTGAAACTCCCTTCACGACACTACGCAAAATGTCTTCTCCTCACCTACAATATTGACTCACTCTCAATTTGACTATTTACAGAGAAAACACAGTGGATAATCTTAATGTTGCATGTGGGATTAATTTTGGGCATATAAATAATATCATTGTAATTCTGCAGCATTTTCAGAAAAAAAAAGTCATTTCCCCTTCTTTAGTGTCTCCATTTTTGTTTTTTTTTCTTCTTTTAACTAATCTGTGAGGCTCACATTACATCAAATACAATCATTTTTATACCAATTTTCATGCGTCATTTTTTTGTTCCTTTAATATTAAGGTTTAATATTTATTCTTTACCTTCTTCATTCACTTTTATAATCAAATTCTAAATATGTTTAATTAACCTACTATTTAAATATCTTATTTTCTCTTGCTTCCTCTTTCTGGCGACTTGTTTTTTTTTCATCCTTTTTTTCTTCTTCTCGAGCGGAGATTTTAATTCAATTATACATTGTAAAGAATCCTTCCAAAATCAAAGAAATGACTGAAAGTAGCTTTTCTATCAATTGGAAATTTGCGCGTGAAAATTCTGGGAAAGTGTTGTCTAAACAATCATGTTCAGCATCTTCTTAATTCTACATCAGACAGACTGCGGATTTATTTATTTTGCTGAGTTGAGAAAAATGTTTATGGCACTAACCGTTCTTTAATCTTTCACTCCTCTCCCAAAAAAAAACTGTACCTTCGCATTCACCCTTTTATAGATAGACGGAAATAACACAAAGAAAATTATTTTTTTTTTAAATTGCTTTCAACACCATTTCTATGAGATTTCGCGTCAAATATGCAGCAATTATCATCCAAGATTATTTACTAAATTCGGTTGAAAGAGAGGTTTTTCATTTATTTCCATGTTTTTCTTTCTAGAAATCCATCTCTGATATTTTTCCCGTGAAGATATATTTTCTTTTTAAGAGATTATTTTCATGTTTTCTGTTTTTTTCTTTTATTTTAATCCTTATATTTTTCTCATATTTTGTACTTTGGAATCTTTAAACTGCAACAATTGCAATAAAATCGTTTTCACCAAATCCACTGACTATATTATTCGGCATTTAAAGACAAACTTAAAGTTGAGCGCGGGGTTTAACCAAATCCGATAACTTGTTGTTCATAGTACAAAAAAAACTATATAATTGCAAAGATCAAATTCAACAATAATAGAAATTAAAACTTAAAATAAATACACGACAATTTGTAAATTCTTCATTTTCCACCGAGATTTGCTGTATGCTTTTAAATCTTTTTTTTTCTTGCTACAAAAAGCTTGTAAGAACTGGGTTTCAAAGAGCTTTTACCATTTTTTTTTAGATTCTCTCCTGTAACTCTTTCTTGCCTTTTTCTCATCTTTCAAGTACATAAATTGTTTGAGCACATATATTTTTTTACCTTTTTATAGCATTATTGGTTAAACTACGTTATGATTAATTTATTAATTGAATTTAAATTATGTATTTACAATAATTTAGTGAAATTACAGACTAAATATGATTTTATTTTTAGAGTACAAGTCTAAAAGTTATCTATTACATTCAACTGTTTTTGCAAGTATCCCGGTTATGGTGTTTTAATTCACGTGTCCTTCGTCCCCACACTTTTTCTGTCATCCGGCATTGTGTATCTTTATTTTTTGTCCTTTTTGTATACAAAAAAAATAAGTTATCTCAACTATTAAGTCACTGGGTAAAAAATTACCTATAAAAGTCAACTTTAATTGAAATATTAAAGAAATCATTAAGCTTTTTCGCTCATCCATTCACCTTCAATGTTTGCTCTTCACCGCAGTTTGGCGTTGCAAGAATTTCGTTCTTCAATATACTCATATCTAAAGGTATTTTCTTCAAATTGTGCTTGAAGATTTATATTTTAAAACATACAAATTCACTGAAATTAACATAAATTAGTAAAAATCACATGTCATTGTAAGTATAATGAAAAAAGAGTTCTCTCTCTCTCTTTCTCTCTGTACACAATGGTTTATTGACTGTGAAGAATTCTTTGAGAAATAATCATGTTTGTGAATAAATTATAGACTTTTCTATTGCAATACTTTTTTAGAGTCCTTTTCAGACTCTGATTCCGTCAATTTTTCTCTATTCCACACACTTCTACAGTGATATTTTCCACACTCTTCCTCCATTCCCCTTTTCTTCTACAAAAGAAAGTAAATAAAATGATTTACAACATTGCTATTTACATAAAAATGTAAATTTTCCTGTTGATATTCTTCCCCCATCGTGTTTTTGCATTCCTTCACAAGTAATCTATAGTGTTATTAGCTACTAATACAGGGATCTTAATATGACAATATCTCTAGTTACTCAATGCAGTGTCAATTGAAAGTTGCGCCCCGGCTCATGGCCACACGGCAGCGGCGCCGGGACTCCTCCGGCTGGGTGGGATGCGGCTCAAAAGGTGGGGAATCCCATGGCGCCGTCGTGGTCTGAGGGTCACTGGTGCATCTTGGGGCCGTGATGGGTCATGCCCAGACCCAAGTTGATGTGGTGTGGATTGTGATGGGGCTGCGGTGGAACCTGACCATGGTTGTGGTTGCTACTCGAGCTGTTGTTGTTGTTCTGCTGGGCCGCCTGGCGCTGTGAGTTCTTCTTGTTCTTCATTCGCCGGTTCTGGAACCAGATCTTCACCTGCAAGCCACACACAAGCACTCTTCGTAAAAGCCACCAAAAACAGTTCCCGAGAGTTGTGAATCGTCTCACCTGTCGCTCAGTTAAGTTGAGATTCCGCGCCAACTCCCAGCGTTTCTGCTTCGATACGTACGCATTGAAGAGGAACTCCTTCTCCAGCTCCAGTGTCTGGAACTTCGAGTAGGGCTTGCGCTTCTTTCGCACTGTCACCTGACCCGTCCACTCTAGGGCGTTGGATGGCGTGCAGGAGCCCACAGTGCCGACGCCAACAGCCGCAGTCAAGCTGGATCCTGAGAGGGGAAGGCATCAGACTATGAGATGTGCATTCTCTCAGGTTCAAGGGGTTCAAGCTACTTATGAGAAGGACGGATATATTGAGAGAACTGGATGTCATATCTCTTTTACGATTGAAAATTAGTATGCTTGCGACTGGCAATTATATTTATACTTGCATTGCCAATGTAATATTCCAGTTAGAAAACAATTATGATAATTCCAGTTCTCTCAATGCTCTTCACATAATCCTAAATTACAATCCGGCCACATCAAAGAGCGAGCATCTCTCCACAGAAGCCACAGATAAAGATTAGGCCCCCATCTTTTAAAACGTTCACACTAAATATTCAGCAAAATTCCCACCTGTTTTCACCCAAAAACGCTAAATCACTCGAAGGTGTGTTTAATTGCAAATGTGTCTTTTTTGCTCCCACAGTAATTCAGTGTCAAGTTCAAGATCACGACTAATTTCACTTTGTGAGCTCCTATTAGCGCACGATATAAAAGTTTTATGGAATCTTATAAAATAATTAATATCCCCCACCCTGGCGCTCTCGCCAGACGTGCACCCGACTTTCTTGTTCGCGCGCGAAGTTGAGCCATTGAATTGGATGTTTGCACACTCATTACAGATCTTACATAATACATACATAATAATATTGTTTATTGGACCTAATAAATCACTCCGCGGGCCTCAGCATTTCACACATCCATACACACACACGCCGAAAAAGCTCTCCTCTCGTATGACTTCTCAACCATCGGGAGGATTATAGAAAATATAATTTAAGTGAAGGCGCGCGCGCCGAACAAACATTCTTTCACTCCTCTTCCCTTTATATGGGGCTCTCTAGTAAAATTTTATAGCCATATTATTGCTCAATGAAATACTCGTTAAATTCCCATTGACATGAACGAGATGGATTTATTGTTGCTCTGGGTCTCTCCACCGTGATGAAGAAGGAGCTCCTCGGATGTGCCGCATGGACAGGAAGAAGAGGCAAAAAAATGCCGCCTCGCAATCAGCTGACTTGCCACAATCCGCCCAGACAGCGAGGTGGCCAGAGGAGCGACACACATTTGTCCCTCAATTGCAAATGAGAGCCCACTCTGAGCCCGTGTTAACACCCCATCTCAGACGGTCATTGTTTACAAACACTCGTGAATGCGAAATGGCCATCCTATGGACCGATGTTTATTAATTATTAACCCCAATAATGGGGCCATTCGCACACTTTATGACCCCAAATGTTTATCAACATTGCACTCCTGACGAGACTTCCTACACTCTCGACTCCAGTTCCACCCAGAGCAATATTTATGGGCCGATTGCCTGGCGAAATACCGCGCAATGGCACGTGATTTATTTCCCACGACAGAGAATTTCCGGTGTGACGCTGAATCACTTGGGAAGTTCTTGCATCTCCAAATCACTCAAAAATTTATTTTCCCACCAAACTTTCACTGTCAACTGACTTTGACTTTCAAAACAATTGAAATTATATTAACTTAAACCGCCAAATAGTTTATCTACTATGAGATACAATGAAATTCCACGACGTTTACTAAGGATAAACTGGGATGATATCGAATTGGCTCATTAGAATAGGCTTCAATGTCTTCAAAGAGTACAAAAATTCCCTTAGTTGATCAAAAATTGGCAGTTTTTGTTGCACGACCTGGCACTAAACCAGCATTTGCCGCTGTTCTTGCCTTCTCCTCCTCTTTCTGCAAATCCTGCAGACAGTTTACAGCAGAAGGATCTCTTCCTTCTCACTTGAGCCACTCTGTTTCCCAAATATCACTGTGTGATCAACAGAGCCAGTTGAGCTACTACGCATAAAGACTACTACGCATTTTAAATGCTAGATATTGCTAGATATACAAATAGCAAAAATGACGGCAGTTCCGTCGAAATTGGGACACGGTACCTGGGGACTCACCTGGCGTAGAGTAAGCATCGCTAGTGTAGGGCCTGAGTCCGCTGGCAGCGTAGGTTGTGTCGTAGGTGGACTGAGTACCTGTGCCCTCCACCGTCTGTCTGGCTGCGTGGCGATCGTCCGTGAGGTAGGACGGCTGATCTCGGTAGTTCCAGTAGGGTGGCTGCAAGTGCACAAAACGCCATGAGCTCGGCCGCACAGCGGCAGGTGGCAGCGCGCCAGACTCACCTGTGGAAATTGCGCCTCTGGATACCCGTAGTAGACAGACTTGCGGTCCCTCTCGAGATAGTATTGCGAGTGGGAGTGATATTGTGATTCAAAACCAGTCTCATAGCCCCAAGCGTGTGGGTGTCTTATGACGGAGGGGTCAGGCTCAAATCCTGGACGTTTTGCGGGTATGTGGAGGGGGCCTGCAACGAGTGGGTGAGAGTGAGAGTAGTCCGCGGACGTGGGCTGCGGTCGAGGGTGCCTGAGGTGCAGGTGCGGCTCTACGGGGGGCTGGGGGGTCTGGGCATGGGCTTTACCTGCCGGCTGTGAGCTGACGCTCGCCGGGGACTCACTCGCCGTCGACGGCGCCACGATCTGTGTCTGTCCCGCCACCGCGTTGGACTGCTGGACACCACCTGTGTTTGGCTGGTTGGGGGGTTGCTGCACCACGTGATTCGCCTGCTGGCTCGACTGCTGCTGGATGGCCGTTGGTGGACTGTGTCCTCCCGCCTGTCCGGCGGTGTCCTCGTACATGGCAGCACCAGACGCGTGGGTGTGTGTGTGCTGCCCCCACCAGGCCCCGGCAGTGGCGTGCGACCCTGCCGAGACATCGTGGGGGTCGTAAAGAGCGCACGCCAGCGGGATGGTTGTAGAATGGTGGGGTGAGATAGTTATGATTTCGCGGACGTGTCGATGCCCAGTCACGAGTCGTCACACCGTTTAGGCCGTGCGGTATGTGTCGATGGTTGAGGGTGGGTGTCGCGGGTGCACCCAATTGTCCAGATCGTTTGGGTTTCCCGCGCGAGCACAAATCACCAAATTGCCCGGATTCACGCGGATATCGCGAATTATGGAGGGGGGACAGTTTCGACAAAAACAGTTACGCAATTGGCGTTAGAGAGTCAAGCGCACACACACACGAGCCCACGAAAATGCCGCGGTGGAGCAAATTGCACGTCATACGATTTGGCGGCCATTCACGATGCATCCGCAGATGCGATCAGCCCATGGGAAGGTGTACGCGCGTGTAGGTGTTGCGATTGATTTTTTTTACCAGTGTGTCACACACACACACAAACAAACAAGCCACAGTCAAATTTTTACGACAGTTTTTGTTCGTCCCGGTTCACATTTGTTTTGATTTGTGTATGGCGAGAGGTGGTTTATATATTTGTTTTTTTTTCGCCGTGAGACGTTGTCAACCGGCAAATGGTGCAGTTGCAAAGAAAAATGCAGTTCGCAATACGGTGATCCACAGAGTGCACACAAAATGGGGATTTTGCATGGAAGTACAAGAAGAAAACAGAAACAACAAAACACACAAATCAGTTTTGGTCTTCGTCAATTCTCCTCCTTCTCTCAAAACACTATTTGGCTCTACGGCCACGCTCTCACGAACTCCACACGAATTTTCCGAGACTTTTCCACGCGAGCGGGGGAGAGAGAGACAATTTTCCCTCCCCAAACTCTGTCTTTTCCGTTACGCTGTTAAGGTTCGCAGATTCACCTCGCTTGGAGCATTTTGGCACAAACACACAGTTCGCAATTCACAGCTCTCTCCGTCTTAATCAGCCGATCGACAATCTTTCGCCATCGGAGGCACAGTTTTTGAATATTAAAATATTTTTATTAGGATGCCCCCAAGTCGCCACGCAGGCCGAGAAATCACCAGCACGCACTCGGTCAATTGGAAGTGCTGGAGCACGGATGGGGTCCAAGTGTGGGGCCACTTTGCCCATTGGACAAGACCACAGGACCGCGCTCACGTTCGCGTGTCTAGCGATCGACGATCGCGGCTCCTGCACAGAATCCACCACATCTCCCACACTCGCTCACGACAGCCCAAAAAAACCGCGCTGACCCGCACGACTCGACAAGATAGTCCGTGGCAGCTCCGAAGTTGGATGTGCTTGAGAGCTGAACGGGAGACGTCCGTATCTCGCGATGCTTGGCTTTACACTGAAAAGCGACTCGGTGGCGCGCTCTCAGCGACACTCTCTCATCAATCTCGCTCTATTTTTCCCGCAAGAGACTGTATCGACAGCGCTGGGTGGCGGAGAGCGCAAAAAAGCTCATCGCGCGCGTGATACCGAGAAGCGGGCTCTCGAGGTGAACGCATGCGTTGCTCGCGGTGCATTCTGCCGTCTGGCGGCGTGGGCGCGACAGAGACGACGCGAGGCCAGAGCGGGACGGCAGCCACGAAAGCTTCGCCTCCAAGTGGCATGCTCTCTCTCGCGTTTCGACGAGGGACACGGTGAACCGCGCGTCCGTGTGCGCCGCCCGTCCGTACACGGTGCTCGGGTGTGGTGGTGCGCCACGCGTGCGTATATTGCTCTTTCCATCTACCGGCCATCGACGGAACTGCAGCCCCAACGCATTATAACTCCCGGTGGAAATGCACATCTCACGTCGCGAAAACTCGGACCCGCAGCCAACATTTCCCACAAAACACAGCACTCAACTCCCGAAGGTTGGCGATGCGTCACACTTCCAACTATAAATCACGGTGTAATTTTCCGGTAAGTGAAAATCATAAACAGGTAGAGGAGATTGTAAAAATTACGGGGAGAGACTTTAATGGCGATGCATCATTAGAATAAAACATGTTAATCGATTTGAACAAACACAGCGAGGCGACTTTCGCCGTCTCTGTCTCGGCAACAAGATGTTCCCACCCATTGGCTGAGGGTCTGGGTCGTGAACAAAAGGCACACAGCAGTTGAGAAGCTAATTTCTTCAACAGACCTTTTGTTGGAATTGAGAAGGGGACCCTAAATATACACTCCAGAGCAAAAGACTGGAACGATTCGTATGATCCAAGTCAGAATACGGGAACGAACCCTTCAAATGAACGAAGTCAGTTTGGTCTAGGCTTAATATTCTAAGATCTTGAACGGTTTTTCTGATTAGATTATAGGTTAGACTGATAATTTCCTGAATTTCCTACAAGATTTATGATATTTTTCTATGCACCCTAAATTCAGACTCTAACGCCTTTGAGAAACATTCAACAACTTCGTTTTCCGATTGATTTCAGCAAACAAACGCAGTTTCTCAATGCAACCCCATCACTTGTGATTTTAGAAATCACATTCCAAATCAGCCCATCGACCTCTGTGACTCCGATGTTTGAAATACAATTTTCACTCAACACCAATTATGAAAAGATATTTTTTATGCCCACAAATCGAGCATAGAGCTGAAAATTTCTCCTCATTAGCCCGAGAGTTTAGGAGGCGTGGCCAGGGAAAACAGTGCGTGTGAAATGCGTGGATATATCGCTGCGCCACTGTAGCTACCTTTGGCGCAGGATTTCTTATTGTTATTTCACGGTAATAAAGTCATAATAATGTTATGTGAGAACAAACCAAAGTGGTGTGTTAGCATTTGTTGATTCCAATGGGGACTTAATGAATTAGACGAGAAGGGGTTAAATGCTCATTTAAATATTCACTGCAAGAAATCGAAGATGGGAAGAAGAAGGCCCTCCAGGGTGGGAAGATAGAGCGAGTTGCTGGAATCCCAACCCCTTTCTTGTCTCGCATTTTTTGCCCCAAACTCTCGTCGGAAGACATTCCTGAGCCGCGTCCTCGAAGGGTGGTTTTTTTTTGTTTCTGTGCGCTCGAGAACCTCCTCTGGCTCCCGGTGATGTTCAACTTTATGGCCGTGATGATGATTTCGGGATTTGATGCTATCGAACATGCAGCCATTTCACCATAAAATGCAGAGAAGAAGGGGTGAAAATCATCTCAATTCACTCGAGGGAGGTGAAGACATTCTCCTCAATACCTGTCCTGGACTCCCTTCCATTTCACTCTACTTTATTGATTTACAGACGACCCCGAAGTGTCCTCTTGAACCCCTGATAACGATCTTGGAAAAAAGATAGTTGCTCCAGCCGGGAAAAAAACACCTTTCCATCGGTGTCGGAAATCAGAAACGTTTGAGGGATGATTTTGTGTCTCAATTTGATCTTAGCTGCCATACTCTCTGCTTTTCACCTATTTCTTCTAACCGTGAGTGTAAAACACTTTTATGGCAACAATTTGACAAATGACCACTTAAAAATTTTACAACAATAATAAATTTCGCTTTCAATATCACTAATCGGTCGTAATAAAACCACCTTAAACATTTTTATGTAATAATAACACACATTAAAATTGTTTGTATCTTCACTCGAAATATCATACGGTCGTCTCACGCGCTCCACTCTTGCACTTGAATTATTTCCGCTAGGAGAAATTGTAGTTCAAGAAGGAACGAGTGAGATAGAAGAAGCGACTGTTGGCCATTAAAAAGTGCGACACAGGAAAAATTGTTTCTACCACTTTTCCGCCCAGCCGTACAACTCGAAATTACTATTCAACAAATGACTGAACGTGCGAGTTCGTGAACTTCATTCTTTGGACAGCGGGAGGAATGTATGTATAATAATAATTTTTTAAAATTTTTCTCCCTCTCCTCTCGCCAACTGAGCCCTATGGTGTGGAATGTGAGTGGAATTAATTAGATATTGTGAAGTATTGTCTTCCTGGAGAGGCGCTGGAGAGCGGATAGCCGGAATATGCCTCAATTGCTGAGTGGAAGGGTATTAAAAAGTCATAAACATTGGTGAGCAATTGCATCACTTGTGGCTGTGATTGTTTTTCTCACAACAATCCCTCCAGTCGAGCCATATGTTCACCACCAACCCATTTATTGGTCATATAAACTTTTCACGAGTGTACGAAAGTGAAAAGCTCTTGTGCGTCTCTGACTTTCGTTTGGGAGGATTCTCAAGGAAAGTGACATTTCCTATTCGCCTCTGCATTGATTCTGGAAGATTTCATCACAGTCACTAGAATTTTCTTCTATTAATTCTCACGTGAACTGAGAATTTTCCTCAAATTTTGAAAAAACTAAAATTTTGACTAATTTTTACTGCACAATCAGTCGCTAATTGAAAAGAAATCTCGGGATTTTGATTGAGTTCATCGCTCCCAGACTGCCGGGCGATTTCCCGGGTGAAAATGAGGACTCAGATTGAGTGTTGTGGGAAAACGGAGGGTGGCTGGGTGGAGATAATTCAGCACTTTTAGAGGTGATAAAAACCGCAATAAAATATCGAATGACATGTTAAATCAATCGTTGAAGAAACACTTTTTCCCTTTCTTGTTTGTTCTTCCACACCACTTGAAATTGTCTCACACGATCCCCCAATTGATTTTTTTTTGCTGTCACCCCGCTCCAGAACCGTCCCTTGGCGATGGTCGTACAATATTTTTCTGTTGTTGCTGTAAAATATATACTTTGGACGGAGCGCAGAGGAGGTGGATAATTTGAATTCAGCGTGATTATCGCGGGGAAGGCGAAACACCCCTAAAATATAGCGATGGAATGCGAAATGAGCCCAGTCTAAATAATGCATGAAGCCGGGCATTCGCGATTGTGTCACGGTGAATGTCTCTCGAGGGTAAAAGGAGCAAGACAACATTCCCAGCTCAGCATGAATTTCAATTTTTTCCGTGGCAAAAATACACGGATGGTGAGACGCGGGAGTAGACATGACACCGCCACTGCATTAATGCAATTAATTCTTCAACTTTATGGCTGAGCTTATCGTCTTGTGAAGTGTTGGGAGATGCGCTCGGAAGATGTGAAAAAGGCAAATGTCGGATTCCTCCTTGCCCACACTCAGCGACACGGGGGGAACTTAAATGGGGAGATCGGATAAGAGTCACCTCGACAGAATGGCACACGCAAGATCACTTCTTTTAATAATCCTCATATTTAATGAAAATGTTGCTCTATAAATGTTGCAATTCCAAGTGGGAGCCTCCCCCCTCCGATGCGCGCGCCTTGGGGCCTCTCGCGGGACTCCGCGGCGGACCTTTTTTGCCATCATGATGGCTCAATGAAGGAGGTGGAGCAGAAATGAAAGGAAATTAACTGCATTGGGCATCAATTCCATCACTTTATTGACGACGATTTGTGCCATCACGAGCAGAACAATCTTCTTGCCCATTTAAAATGTGCATCTCATTTTCGAAGAGTTTCACAAGTGGCATCTTCGACCACTCTTGTGGCTTATTAATAAAATCAACCTGTTCCCCGAGAGAGACTACCGAAAAAATGCCCGCGATGAGGAGCTGAGGTTATAAATAATGCAAGTCAGCACGAGATAATGAAGACCACCAACTTTGTGATAAAGTTCTCTTGCTAATCGTTCTTAATAATCACCGGGGATTGAAATTCAAATGGTTTCCATATTATAGCGAGGTGAATCAACAGCTAGAATTTGAAAATGTATTTTTTTTTTCAATTAAGATTTCAGCCCGAATTGTGTGTCAGACGTGAGAGGAAAAACGTGTGTGGAGTTTCGTGATTTGCGTGAAAACTAATTTAGCACAAAATCTAATTAAGAATTTAATTTTAAAGTAATAAACACTCTATTTTTACTCTCGACTCTGCAAGAATAACGCTACTTCAATGATATTCTCTACCAAGGGCGCTTCTCAGCTCTATAGAGAAGTGGAGAGAGGGAATGTAAAAGGAGAGAAACAAGAAGGAATCAAAATGGCTAAAGAATAAATTTTTTGATTTATAGCCAAGTGTCAAGTGACTATAAAAAGGTTTTACTCTTGTAATCTCTCAAATACATACCGTAAGCCGCACTGGCCAGATTAGCGTGAGTCCTGTTGAAGAGCTGCAAGAGATTGAGGGTGGCGAGATGAGAAAATTGGTCACATTGAGGAAATTTAATTTAATTTTTCAATTTTATGGCACTTTTTGCCTTCACATTGTTTACCCGAAAACATAACACACACACAGGAGAAAAGGCGGACACACAAAGATTTTCTCCCCGTCGTGTGCAATAAAAACATCAAATATTATAAATCCCGTCTACATGAGATTGCGGACTAATGGATTAGTCGCTTTCGTCGCCACGGGGGTGATGAAAGTGCAGAGAACTTTTCGCCAAACATATGGAATGAGAAATGAGCGCGTGACTTTTTAAACATCCGACCGGATGTGACTTTTTCCCCGCATCATTGCACACTTCGGAGGAAATCCCCAAGCTGAGGATGTCTATCTGGCTTCGGGCAGCATATGGAAGTGATTTTAGATGGCAAAAGTATGACTGTCTCACCTTCGGAATGATTATTGTGCTCCCGACTTTGTAAGCGCCAAAGTAATTATCATTACTGGAAGCCTCTGCAAAGAAGAAAGCAGTTTTCAATTAAGTAATTCACAGTCAAATTCTCTCCTGATTAGTATATCTGTGGAATGTCACACTGGCGATCATGCGAGCTTACTTTGTGATGATTGGATCTATTCAGAGTCTCACACCCTCAGCAATTTTAGTGAATGCGCAGTGATTAGCGATCATACAAGTGGATGTTGTAAGAGCAATTCGTACCACCTTCACTCCGCCGTGATGCTTATTGCAAAAGCATGATTAATGGCGTATTTACGGACCGCAAAACAATGAAATAAACATTCTTCTCCGCCTTTCGGCTCAACACAAATGGTTGAAATGTCAATAATTTCCATCTCCCATTCACTCCAGCATAATAATGTGTCATCGGATATTCGTCAATGCGCGATCGCGATAAAAGGCTAAATTTCTCTTTGAGCCTCTGTCAATGAGATCATTTTGAGTGACACTAAATGCTGTCTGCGTGAATAAATCTGTGCTCTTGGCGACGACATTTTCAGCGCCCTCTCGCTCGGGAAATTGCTTAGGTGTGAAAATTTCCATTCGGATCCATTAACATTCCCATCGAGAGAGGAGTGAGCTTCTTCAGAATGGATGCTCGTGGGTGTGGAATGTTTGCACTAAAATGTTCCCCAATGTGCCACAGAAGTTGGCTGCGGAGCGAGTTAATTGGTGGCAAATCGAAGATATATTGGTTTGAAACTCCTTAATAGATTTCAGCACTCTGGCCATGGCGATAGCCATCGTTGAATGTTTAATGAACAGAAAACATCTATTTCGAATGCGCATGAGATTATCGTGTCCGGTGAATGATCTCAAAAGGCACCTCACGGAACCCACAAGACTGCTCAAATATGGTGTGTTAATTGAGTGGCCAGAAAATGCCATCAAAAGACGACCGATCAAGATCCATGGCAGATGGTTAGTCTTGTTCTCACCCAAAAAGTGTCACTATCTTGAGAGAGCATTTTCCCTCTCGAAGGCGCGCAACTGAAAGATCGAGAACAGGTTGTTGGGCTGTGAAAAAGGAGAAAGCCACTCTCTCTCCCTGCGTTCATGAAACTTTGTAACGATATTCTCAACCTCCTGTCGCAAGGATACAGATGTTTCCAATACAGAGCGCTGTTTATCATTATCGTCGCTGTGCTTAACCCCCCCAAAAGGAAAGGCGCACTCACAGCGTAAATAAATTATGCTGAAGGGAATGTTTGTGGGGAGAGGAAACATGCACACTCCATTAATTTTCGAAAGTTCCTGTATTGTGTGCTCATCCCTTTATTCCCTCCCCAACCCAAAACCCAGGGAAAATTGAGACATTTCTCTCAGATTACCAATTTCGGCTCGAGGAAGCGAAGAAAAAAGCGACAGACAGTATCAAATAAATTATATCGAGTGAAATTTCAATGGCAGTTTTCGCTTCACCCTCTGAAGATGTGCCAAGAGAGCCACATTTTCTGACGCTGAGGGAAGATCGCGATTTTAAATTTCATCACTCGAGGGCGAAATAAGAGGATTATTTGCATTTTTCACTCTTCAAAATTCGTCTGGGGATTTTTATTTATAGATGCTGGCGAAGAACGCAATTTAAGAATATCTTTCGATGTCTTCGTGTTTGATTTATCTCTGCTAAATGCTTTTTCGAAAAAAAGTTCTCTTTGAAAATATATTTCATGGTGATTCGGAAACCCTATGAACATTTGCCCAGGGCTTTTGCTCGCCGCTTTTTGTGCCATACTTTTATAAAGAATCTCTTATCCAGCACACTTCTTTGAATTCTTGAGTGTTTTCATCAATTTATAACATTGAATAGAGATTGAATTGCCTGAGCATATTTCATACTGTTGTAAAGAATGTTTTTAAAGCAATTCCTCTATAATCTGTATCGAGAATACCTGAATTTATTTCATCTAAGTCAACGCATGCTTAAGAATGGCTGAAATGACAAGAATTAAATTTTAACAAATCATTCTCCCGAAAGTATGGTCGCCGAAGAAGTTTCCATCATTGCTATGGATAATCTCCAATGACCTTTCACCGGCCATTTATCGGTTCGATTAGTTGACATGGAATCGTGGCGAAGACCCGGAAAGATGACTCTCACGAAGAGTCGAAGTCATGGCAGAAGATTGAGCCGGAATCCGGAGGCGACAGAGCGAGAGGCACAGCTGCCGAGCCGCCTGCGTGCGAGCGAGATGGCCAGCAGAGCTGAAAACATGGCTCTCGATGGAAGATATTTATACATGGCGCAGGGAATGTCGGAGCTGCTTGATATTCACAAGAGGGAAGTGAGACAGAGGAGAAAAACGAGCCAAATGGAGGAAATGGAAGAGGCACGGAGTGAAACATGCTCCAGGGATTCGTGTGCAGCATACGCGCGGCATTTGTATGCTGGGGGAGTCGCAGGGCGAGGGTGGAAAATGTTGGCGCGTGTTTTCCATTTGAAAAGAAACACCCTCCCTCCGTGCCGTCCCACACAACAATGGCATCATTATTAACTCCATTTTGGGCGGCCGGCAAATGGACCAAAATGCAATCTGAATTTTTAATCTACTAATCAGGTGGAAAAAATGACGAGCTGGCAATTTGGCGGGATTCATAATTAAATAAACTGCGATGGTTGAGACGTGAAGAGTTTACTTAATAATGCATATCCACACACACACACACGCAGTCAAAGGACTGGGAAATCTGTTCGCAATGCGAGGACAATCCTCGAATTTATGGCTTTCGTGATGGTCTCCATTATTTTGATATGATGCCACTCGCTCTTCGCCTCAATTGCACTGCCTCAACATCGCTGTATCTCTGGCCAGAGGCGCACTGATAAAACTGCGTCTCACCCATTAGCCTGGGAGAACGATAATTTGTCAACCCCTTTTAGACAGAGAGAGAGGAGAAGAAGAAGCCCCATTTGATTGTCCTTCCTTCGGAGAAATTTCTCTTTGCCATTTTATACACCCCGATGCCATGCTTCCATCGAAGTGAGACGCAAAAAAGGGGTTTGACCGGGCCATAAAGTCGAGAAATCCATACTATTGTATGCAAAGTGTAGGCAAATCAGAGACGGTCTGAAAGCCCTTTTTTTCCTCAGCACCAAGGACCCTAAGAGAATGTCTCTCTTTCATCGCCTTCCACGTCAAACTTTCACCCGAGGACGAAAATTGAGTCAAAAATTGGAACATTTCTCAAACTCAACAGACACCAACAATGAAATACAATCCGAGAAAGCTACCACGGGGTGGATGTTTTGTAAACAAATCCGATATTCTTTCATCCCTTCGCTTCTGACACGCTTCCTCTCATGGCGAAATGGTGAAATCCGTTGGAATTCAGGGAGGGAAAAAACGTAGGGAGAAAGTATAACGCACATTGCAAGCGAAAAAAGATTAACGCAGTAATTCCAATTCGAATTTCTTACTCATGGTTCCAAGATTCTCTGCCGGGAGATTTTTCTCCACGATTGTAGGGGAGCTTCCCCAAAGAGAACACCCTCCGCGCGCGCGAGATATCGCTTTCGATTTATGATTATTGTTGTGTAAAGTTTTTCCATTTAAAAGTTTTCACGCGCGGCGGTGCCAAGAAGGAGTCGACAGAGGGCGGAAATGGGGGGTGACGCTGGCAGAGGAGGGAGGAAGAAAAAAAAAACTTTCCGCACAAATATAGCACAGAGAGGGCGGGAAAAGGAGCAAAATTACACCGGGGACTTCCAACTTTATTACACTTTGTCGCTTCTTTTGCTATTTTTGCTGGAAATCTCCACACCCACTGTCACTGTCGTCGTTCCATCGCACCCACAATTTTTCCCGTGACAGTGACATCTCCCCCGCCCACCCCCCAAAACGTGAAATTAGATATTCTTCTGCCTGGGAATTCCCCCTGGGTGAGATTGTCTCTCGCTCGGGTGTCCAAAGAATTCCATCACGTTCCATCTGCCATCGATTGCATTACCATTTCAATGGCGGGAAGGGTGGAAATTTTGCTGGGAAATCCTCACCGACAAATTCAATTTCACTGATGCATTTCATGTTGCGAGTGGCAGGGAAATGAATCCATCCTGTCTGGAATTGGTTGAGCTTCAACTTTATGTAATTTAATTTCAGTTTTCATATCTCCTCTCTATCTCTCTGCACTAGTTGACTGGCAGAGAGCTGAACCATATGGCGATGCTCTTTCCAGCTCCTTGCCTTCATCTTTTCCCATAAATGACTTCACCATGTCAAGAGAGAGAGAGGTCTGTATATGTGTGCCTCTCCGATGGCCGAGAAAAAAAAGGTATTTGGAATGAGGGAGAGATGAAGAATTATTAAATAAATTTCATTTCTTGGTAAAATTTCATCCAAAGTGAACATAAAATTCCACCGAGCTTGATTGAGTTTTTAAAGCAGAAGAATCTATCTCACAAATTTCCCTCCACTTCTCATCATGAATCCAAAATCAACCAATAGAATTAATTAAAATACCAAAATGTTGATGGAGTCCAACGGTTTTCTGGTATATTTAATATCTGAATTATAATTTCTGACTATCTCATCGCTCTCTCCGTCTGCCACACCGATCCTTAATGACTCCCCTTCGATTCTCCCATCTTCCACAACATCTTCAGCTGCGCATCACACCAATCATATGCCAAAAAGCCGAGTTCAAAAAACCCCAAACCATTTTTCCAGCGCTCACATCAAATTATTCCCCGAGCCCAGGGAGAAGACAAAAACAACAAAACTCTCCCGAAATGCTGCAGTGAGAAAGAGGCACAATAACTCGGAAATTATCTCCGCCTCTCCAGAAAAATTGATGATTATGGTGTCGATCTCGTTGAATCCTTTTCAGGAGGGTCAATTGAAATATTTTAATCGCTGTACAATTTCTCGGCAGAGAACAAAGACGATTTTTTGGCTCTCGCCTTTTCGTCTTCTTTGATCTTTCTCGCCAGCTTCCAGCTCCGGAAACTGGATCTCGTGTGAGTGAAGGGCTTGCAATTGAGGGAAAAAACAGCCTCCTCCAGCAGATCACTCATAAATATCTGACTTTATACATGAATTCCATTCTAGCCTCTGATCACAACTTTTCTGTAAATTGATCCTCTCGTTTGGACATCCAAAAACGAAAGCCACAACGCTTCTCCAAGCTCAGTTGCAACATAGCCAACAAGAAGCCAAAAGGAGTGACAATGTTGGAGTATAAATTGTCATCTTTATTTGATCTCTCCTCCCAAATGATCGTGTGTCATATCCCCAGGGAGATCATCCATGAATCGAGATGCACAATAAATTCACAGATTTGTTCGATAAATCTGGTGAGTTATTCCCATGTCGTCTGCAGCTCCTCTGAATTGATATCAGATTTAATCCACACCCCAGACATAATGCTCGCAGAGTGTCACCTCGCTTAAGTGATCCCAAATGACTGAGCTTTTCTCCCACAGTCGCGCTCGAAAGGCGTGGACGGTGGGGATTTATTTATTTTTAATTCTTCGCCTGTGTCTCAATCAAGAGCGATTGAAATGCGGTGCCAATGAACGAGGCATGAGTTTATTTAAATAGAATTCCACACTCGGGACTACATATGGCGGATTTCCATCAAGGTTAGACTGCTGTCTTCACGGAGGCCAGAGCGCAAAGCAACCCAACTAACCACTAAAATGGATGTGAATTGAAGTGGAAATAGAGATATTTCCACTCTTCGAGTCGCCCTCCTCTCTAAATCGATACTTTATTGATTTCTTACCTTTTTATCCTCTTTCGTCTGGGGTTTTTTTTAAACCTCTCTCCTCGCCAGTGAGTCGGAGGCGAAGAGTGGAAAATGCCAGAAGAAAAGCCAAAGAAGCGTACAGAGAGATAAGAAGAAAATTGCAGCATTTTCCCAAAAACCCAATGGAAGGAAAGATGTGTTAGTTTCCATGTACCAAATTCCCCCAATGTTACAGGAATACAAACCATACAATTTATCTACTCATTCCCTCATCCACACATTTCTATTTACCATCGTTAGAAGTGGAAGATCAAGCAGTTTTGTATATTAGTTTCTCTCTCTTCGTACGTTTTTCATGTCTTGTGTTTTTTTTAGTAGGAGTTAATCGAGGAGGAAAAAAAACAGAGACAAACAGCTTTGAGTTAATAATTTATGAAGAAAACAAAAATTGGAAGGAAGAGGAGTGAAAAATATTAATTTGACAGAAGAAGAAATGATAACGAATGGATTTCAAGGTGAATAATTTTATCCATGTACTTACTAAAGTCACTAATGTACATAACTGCTTGCTTTCCTCATACAGCAGCTGTAACTATAAAATGATAAGCCACGAATTAGAATATGTTTGCCATTTTTCCACAATACATAGAATTGTTATAATGTGAAAATCATGAGTGATTATGAATATTCGGGGCGAATTTTTCATCAAAAGACTGTGAGTGAGGGAAAACGCGGCCGGGAAATGAGCACGATGGGAGTGAAAAGACCATTTATTAGCCATTCGCGTGCTTTGCGTGCCACCAGAAAATATTTCATACGCCTTCCAGTCTTAATCCGAGCTCAAGACACAAAAGAGCCGGCTAAAGAAATTGACCCTGCACCCAGAGTGAATATATATATGGAAAACCGTAACGATATTTCTCTTCACCCCCACAATTTCAATGAATTTGATATTTTTTCTCTCTCTCTCTCTCCAAGTCACATTTTATATGAATTTATCTTGGAAAAAAACATTCCCTCCAGCCAAAGTCGTTAAAATTCTCTACGTTTGAGTTAAAATATTGCGGACGAATTTGGGTTCCACGGTCTCGTGGTCATGACTTATTTTGCAGGGAGATTGCTAGTAAATTGTGCCCAGAAGAGGCCCAATTTGACAGTCGAGAGATCGCTAATTGGCTTAGGAGAATCCGATTAAATCTCTATATGGATATTTGATTGGCAAGAAGCATATGCTTCAAGCATATCAATAGCCTTCGTGCAAATGAATTTATTCTCTCTTTCAGCAGCGAAATCACTGGGAAGACACCCGTTTGAGCTATTTTGCATTAAATAGAGTTTAACTGGCATTTCTCTCTGCATCAAAAATGCCATAAAACCCCCATGGTGTCCCAAAAATGTGTCTCTACAACCCTGCCGAAGGGCTCCAAGGGTGGGTGGCGTGGAGATACCCTTTTTCCCCGGCTCGGAAATCCTTCAGTGACAAATATAAAAGCCATCACGACCCATATGAAATTGGGATAAACAATAGATAGAGAGCGAGAGAGAGAGAGATTCACAATCTTATCAGACATTCTATGAGAATATACCTTTTGTGCGCCATATGAGAGCGCCTTCTGGAGGCCCCTCACTCACTATGGCACATCCCAACTGAGCCCCAGAACTAAATCCTCGAAAGGGTGGTACGCGCTGGGAATATAGATTTCATTTTATACCGAGAGGGAGAATGGCAGTCTCTATCTCTCCCACTTTCTCCAGCGCAACAATAACCATTGCCACTGTGTACAATAATCTTGAGATGAAATCAAAACGATTTTGATTCTGTGCCCAGAATATCCAAAGAGCCTGCACAAAGCGCATTTCATCGTGTCTGCCACTCACAATTCAACATTATTCTTCCACATTCCTCCTCCTCGGATTTCTCTCCGTGATCCTCTTCTTCACTCACATTCCCTGACAACGGCGTGTTCTTCATTCCGCCCCGAAAAACTCTCCAAAGACGGAGTTCCCAAATTTTTTATTCCTCTGCATCAAGCGAGAATTTCTGGTACAAGAGCATCTTGTTATAATTTTCGAGGAGCGCAATAAATTATGATAACAACATGTCAAGAATTTTCTTTTTAATTAGTCCCAGTGCCAGACTCTGAGGCATGACACGCTTTCCTGGAGGGTTGTGAAATTAAACAGATCATCCCAGCCACCCTGTGAATTCCTCGCTCGCAAATTAATTTTCACCCACATGGAGTGTGTCAATTTCCCACACCACCCACGAACATTTCCCCAGCTAAATTGCAAATGCGAAGCTCTGGCAGGAAAAAAAGCATCACGTTGGCAAAATATTCCTTATCAGTGCCAATTTATATTCCACGTCGCGCATTTTTTCCCCGGTGGCAGTCTTGATGGGCTGGCGAGAAATTGTCGAGGGGTGGCTGTAAATGTCTAATTATCAACCCTCATTTGTGGGACTGGGTAGCGGGTGTTGGATGAAACTTTAAATTTATCGCGCATTTTCGCTCCGTTTGCATTTTATCAATGTCGACGAGCGCCATCAGGGGTGATTTTCCACACCCCCTTTTCCCCCACCCGATCTCCCGGGGAAAATGTGGAAATTTTCCCGGGTGAATTGTACGCCACTGACTGTAAATTTGTTGCCGACAGAGAGATACGGAGAGCATTGTGAAGCGCCGTCGGCTGGAGTTTAAAGTTGAATTGCTCTCGTTGTGTATATCATGCGGACTTTCGAAATGATGCTCCCTTGTCTCCATTTTCTTCTCCATTTTGCCAGAATGAGTCGCGCCCACACCCCTCACAACCCCTATAATTACACTCCCCATTTCGTTCGCTCGGTTGCTCCTTAATTAGAAACAGGAATTTAGTGTCGAAGTTGAAATTTCATTACAACAATGCGCATCTCATGGCCGGGAGGCGAGCGGAAACCACGCCGGGTGGAAGTCTGAGAGCAATTTCCACCCTTTTCATTGATACCACCAGTCGAAAAAGTGGGAGATTGAGAGCACTTGAAAAGTCTCCTCGAGCCTCTCCATCGCCGCATGCGTCGCAGATAATGATATTCAAAATGGGAATAAAAGACAAATGTTTCGCCTAGAGGACTTTTCATTTAATTTCATACGAAAGGAAGTGTTTCGCCGGCGTTTTATTGCCCACTCCATCCATAGTCGAAAAAGAGTTCACCCCAAAGTTTGGGGTATATACGAACTTTGTACAACTTTCCTCATATCTTCACTCTTGGCCTCCCCTTTTGTGCAGAATCGACAACATTCTGATGGGGCCACCATTGTCACTCTCTGTCTCTCGTCACTCTGATAAAATGTCCATGGCCGTAAGACATTAAGTCATCTCAAGTGGCGCTCTCACGATGTAAAGCAGAAAGAATGGATAAAAAGAACCTTCAATCCACTTAGTGGCACTCGGAGAGGGTCCACTGAGTCGCCAGATTTCCCGCAGCGAGACATCAACTCCCACACTCACCCCATCGGATCAAAACAATTCCATCAGCCTCAATTACACTGAGTCAACAACATCAATTTCCCTCACATGACGCATATGCATTATCCACACAATTTCCCTCTCCTTCGGCCGCTCACAGGCAAATTTTCATTGTGCTTTTTCACCCTGGACCTCTGATATTTTCCTACCCACACCCTAGCACTCAAGTGCCACCCCCAGTTGTCCGCCCTCGCCCCTCGGCAGTTCATTTTTCGCATGTCCAGAGGCGCACAAGTGACGACTTCTTGTGCTGCGCCCTGAACAACTCGCAAGTATGCTAAGCAGTTTCCCATCTAAGAAGAGCAGCAATTTGCCACCTCCTCAGGCAAACGCTCGGGAAAATAACATACACTCACACACACCCTGAAAACATGAAAATTCGCAATGGCGCGCGAGGTGGGGAAAAGCTCGAAAATGTGCCGGAAAAAATAGGAAAAGAAAATAATACGAAAGTTTCGCTTTCCACCCTCATCGTCTCTCACATAATTTATACATAAATGCACACCCACCGATGGGGCCACCCTTGGCAAACATGCCCGGCAGGCCCTGGAAAAGCTCCACAGCGCGTGAGGGAGAAATTCCTCCTCATAGTCAATTCACTGATGTCGTGGGTGGGATATTTTCCATGCAAACAGAAAGAGACTTTTTTCTATTTATTTTTCATCCCCTCTTTCAGCTCGCCGGGGGAGAATTTTTCTCGTTGGGTGGAAATTGATTTATTCCATCCTCTCTTTCACTCCGTGAAAGGATATGAAAATTCCATTTGCAATTTCAAGCACAAAATAACTCAACGTGACAGGACGAATGGTAGTTTGGCGTCTTGGTGGGGACACAGGGGGAGAGGTCCACAAAAGGGGAGCCGATCGACATGCATGAGCGAGAGACAGAGTTGGAAATATGTTGTCAAAACAATATGCAATCAACACAAAGTGCCACTACATTGTTTTACGATGGCACGACGAGAAAAATATGTGCCTTTTGATGTGTGTTAACATCAAATGCCATTAAAGAGGTCCCCCCAACTCCACCAGAGATGCTCCACTGAAAGTTGCCAAATTTTGGAGATTTTGCAACGAATTTTGCGCATGAGAATTGCATATTTTGCGCGGCAGATGAGTGATTCTCAATCTTTGTGCTCATCATTAATGCAAATTATTTAATTTAGAGGCAGAAATAAACGTCAGACTCTGGCTCAACTTGGTCTCACGCAAGGCTGCGTGAAGATTTAAATAGCACTTTATTAAAATTGCGCATGAAAGATTTTTCTACGCGTAGTAAATATAATTTTTTCTTGTAAATCACCACAAAAGTGATTTATGCCCAATGCATAATCGGCGTCTACCAGGCGTCTCCACTTGATATACATAATTAATGATTAGTTGATTAATTACACCGTGCTCATACGACTGTACGATCTTTCGCGTGTTACTCCCCTCAATTTCGATTCAAAAGCTATAATAAAGCCATTGAGCAAGAGTAACTCTTGAGAATCCCTCCCTCTCACATCCTCTGTGGTTTATTAGAAAATTCTCACTGAATATGTGACGCATTCATGCCAGAAGGTGGAAATAAGAAATGGAGAAAAATCGTCAATGAGTGCAATTTAGACAGAGTGATTTCAATTTATGTCGCCTCATGCTATTTTGTTTCCCTTTCATCGCTCCTATAAATGGATTCGTAGATGGAGGTTTTTTCTTCCCCTCGGCGCGGGTTCAATTTAAATTTCTCAACGTGGCATTTTTGCAGCGCACTGATCCCCATCAGAAAATCGTAAAATTTTCATCATTTTATTTTAAATCTGGGTGAATATATGGTGACGGATAGATATAAAGTCGAGTCGCAAGTGTGTTAGAATAAAATAAATTGAATGAGCTCACTTTTCCTTCTTCTCTCCCACACTCTCGGCATGTTTTTCCATTGGTCGTCTTTTCCATGGAAGAAGCGAGAAGAGAAAACTTCATAAATTGGAAAATTATACAACGAGGAAAAATATAATGTGGGCATGGAAAATGAAATGGACGGAGATTTTGCTTCGCATGGCTTGAATGGAAAAAGCCAGAGGATTGTGTCCACTTTACTGGGTAATTT